GGGATAGCAGTAAAAGATGGCCCAAGTCCTTGGGCCCCTGCACCCACGTGGGAGACCCGGAAGAAGCTGTAGGCTCTTGGCTTCACATCTGCGCATCTCCAACCATTGCTGCCACTTGAGGGGTGAACCAGAGGATGGAAGACCTCTCTCTGCCTCTCCTTCTCTCTCTGTGTAACTGTGCCTTTCAAATAAAATTTTTTTTAAAAAATCAGTTTATAAGAAATGTCCAGAATATGCAAATCTGTAACAACAGAAAATACATTACTGTTTGCTTAAGGCTGGAGGTTTGGGTGGGGGATGGAAGATGGGAAGTGATTACTAAGAGGTAGCCAGTTTTCCTTTGAGGGTGATAAAAATAGTCTCAAATTGTGATTGCACAACTCATTGTTCTAGAACTGTTGAATTGTCTACTTCAAATGTTTGAGTTGCATAGTAGATCTCAATAAATGTTAAGACAAAAATGAGGTTTAAAAATGCCTGAGATTATAAACAATATTTGTGGTTTTAGTAGTATTTAAATGACTAAATCATAAAGTTAGAAGACTACCTGTGCTTAGTTTAATAGTTACATGGTTGCTTTCAGAAAGCAAATAATTCTATTAAAATTATGCTAATTTCAGTAGGCTCATTGGGGGAAATGAAATAATTTTAGCACTATTGCCTCTTGTAATTTTTCTTCATTTGAAAGGCGGAGAGAGGAAGAGTTCTTCCTTCTGCTGGTTCAAAATGGTCACAACAGCCTGGTTGGGCCGGGCTGAAGCCTGGAGCCCTGAACACAACCCAGGTCTCTCATGTGCTGCCTCCCAGGGTGCACATGAGCAAGAGCGCTGAAATTGGAAGCAGATCCGGAGCTCAAACCCAGGCACTCTGATAAAGGATGCTGGAAACACAGGCGGCACTGAGCCGCTGTGCTTAACAGCTGCTCCACAGGCAAGCTTGCATTCCTGCTGTTGTGCAAGTCCACTGTGGACTCCAGGTGAATGTCTAGTATTTTCATAGTTTTCATACATTTTTCCATGGTAACAGTGAGTTACATTGTGATTGTAGACACAAAACAAGGTCTGGAACATGTCTGACTGACAAAAATCCAAAAGAAAGCAGGCTGTTCCAAAACCATCGAGGCTGTAGGCCTAAAGCCAGTGAGATGTGCTTTCCTCTTTCTCTCTATACTTAGTAAAAGCTTGTTGGGAAATTGAGTACCAGAACTAGGAGGTATATATTCAAAACTAGCTCTGGGGTAAGAAAGGTGGCACTGATAAACTACATCATTGATCATTGCAAAAGGATAATTTTTGCGGGTAATTAACTTGAAAAACAGCTAAGCCAGCTGCCAGCCTCTTGGCTTCATTTTACTGGATCTAGAATTCTAGGTTGATGCTTTTGTTTTCTAGCCCTTTAGAGACATTGCATTATGTTCTGACTTGCAGTACTTGAGGCTTAGCTTTGTTCTGCTGCCTTTGTATACTTCCTCCCTGTCTGCTTTTAATATTTTCTTCTGGCTTCTAGTCAAAACAATGTCATTTTGATGTGCATTAATGTTTTTTATTTCATGTTTCCTTGAAATTTCTTGAGTTTCTTGGATCAATGAGTTTATACTTTTGATTCAATTTAGGAAGTGTTTAGCCAATTTTTAAAAAATATTTATTCTATCCCAGCACTTCTCCTCCAGTACTTTTTTATTTTTATTTATTTATTTATTTATTTATTTATTTATTTTGACAGGCAGAGTGGACAGTGAGAGAGAGACAGAGAGAAAGGTCTTCCCTTTCTATTGGTTCACCCTCCAATGGCCACTGTGGCCCGCACGCTGCAGCCGGCGCACCACGCTGATCCGGAGCCAGGTGCCTCTCCTGGTCTCCCATGGGGTGCAGGGCCCAAGGACCTGGGCCATCCTCCACTGCACTCCTGGGCCACAGCAGAGAGCTGGACTGGAAGAGAGCGACCAGGACAGAATCCGGCGCCCCAACTGGGACTAGAACCTGATTGCTGGCGCCGCAGGCAGAGGATTAGCCTATTGAGCCACGGTGCCGGCCTCCTCCAGCACGTTTGAGCCATCAACTCACATATATTAGACTGTCTGATGTCCCACAGGGTTGTCCCATACTTCAAGTGGACTTCACTGCTTTCTTCCCTTGGATCATTTATCTTCCTGTGTTTCATTTAGATAATTTCTATTTTTATATCTTCAATTTTACTAATACTTGTCCGGCAGTATCTAATCCAGTCTAGTCTAGCACAATGAGTTGCTTAGATTTTGTTTCGTTTTTCATCTATAGAAGTTTGATTTCAGTATTTTTTAAAAAGATTTATTTATTTATTTGAAAGAGTAACAGAGAGGCAGAGAAAGAGAGAGAGGTCTTCCATCTGCTGGTTCACTCCCCAGATGGCCACAAAGGCTGGAACTGTGCCAATCCGAAGCCAGGAGCCAAGAGCTTCTTCTGGGTCTCCCATGTGGGTGCAGGGGCCTAGGGACATGGACCATCTTCTACTGCTATCCCAGGCCATAGCAGAGAGTTGGATCGAAATGGAACAACCGGAATTTAAACCAGCACTCATATGGGATGATGGTATGGCAGGCAATGGCATTACCCACTATGCCACAATGCCAGCCCCACGTAATAAATTTTTAAAAAGTTATTACTGGAGTTACGCTGTGGCACAGTAGGCTAAGCCTCCACTTGTGACATCCAGTATGGGCACCGGTTTGACCTGGCTGCTCCACTTCTGATCCAGCTCTCTGCTGTGGCCTGGGAAAGCAGTAGAAGATGGCCCAAGTCCTTGGCCCTTGCACCTTCGTGGGAGACCTGGAAAAAGCTCCTGGCTCCTGGCTTCAGATTGGTGCAGCAGATCTGGGGAGTGAACCAGCAGATGGAAGACTTTCTCTCTCTCTTTCTCTCTTTCTCTCTCCGCCTCTCTGTAACTCTGCCTTTCAAATAAATAAATAAATCTTAAAAAAAAAAAAAAAAAGGAAATGCTTCAATTGCTTATTACATCTCAACTTTACAGCTTCAAGTTATAAATAGATTTCAGGGTTAGCAGCATTTTGAAAACCGACATTTTCATTGCAATATTGACCTTAATCCAAATTTGAGAAATTTACTTACTTAGAAGTGTGAGAGAGATTGAGCATAAAACTTAATTTTCAGGTGATCATTAATGAAGCCAAAAATAAAGTATTTTCCAGCACAAGTTCAAGTTGCAGCATGACAAAGAAGGCAAGAAGACAACTTAGCAGTTTTTGTTTGTTTGTTTTTAAAGATTTATTTTTATTTATTTGAAAGACAGAGTTACAGAGAGAGGTAGAGACAGAGAGATAGGTCTTCCATCCACTGGTTCACTCCCCAGATGGCTGCAATGGCTGGAGCTGCACCAATCTGAAGCCAGGAGCCAGGAGCTTCTTCCAGGTCTCCCACGTGGGTGCAGGGGCCCAAGGACTTGGGCCATCTTCTACTGCTACCCCAGGCCAAAACAGAGAGCTGGATCAGAAATGGAGCAGCTGGGACTAGAACCAGTGCCCATATGGGATGCTGGTGCCTCAGGCCAAGGCTTTAACCCACTAGGCAACAGCGCTGGCCCCTGTTTGTTTTATTCAGAGAGAAAGACATACAAAGAAAGAGCTGCCACCTGCTTCTTCACTCCCTCTATGCCCACAACAGCTGGGGCTGAGCTAGAGCCAACCCATGTGCTGGGAACTGAATCCCGGTCTCTCCTATGGGTGGCAGGAGCCCAACCAGTTGAGTCATTACCATTGCCTCCTAGAGTTCACAGAAGTAGGATATTGGAATCAGGAGCCAAGGGCAGGGGCTGTACACAGGTACTCTGATGTAGGAAGCAGCCATCTTAGCAGGTATTATAACCATTAGGCCAAACACCCATGCCAGAAGAAATTGTTTTTAAAGGAAAACTGCAAAATTAAATATATCTTTTCCTATGTGTGTTAAAAAAAGAAAATCACCTCTGGTGAGTTTTATTACATTTTCCAAACAATAATCACCTTTGGACCATCAAAAGATGTGGAAAGTTTCAGACACAGAATGTGGAGAGAGAAGGTACAAGGGAAAAGGGGTTGTGATACAACCACCCCTCCAAGAGCTTTCTCCACCCCACCCAAGAGCTTCCCACCGGCACTGCTGGCAGATGGATGAAATGAGCCCAGAGGCTACTTCTGCATAAAAGGAGGGAACAGCCGAAATGCCGGCATGTGGTTGCCACCCTCCACTAATTGCCTAGGAACACAGCATCCTCTGTCCCTTCTTGAAACTAACAGTGGTGGTTAGTAAGTGGGGAGGATGTGATTTCCTAACACAGCATGATAATTTTTCAAAAATATTTTTAACCATATGAATTAGTCATGTGCAGAAATCCCAGCAATGATAATTTATCTAATCTTTTCAACCAAAGGGCTCTTGGAAACTGCTAGGATACAGACGGTCATTTGGCCTAGCAGTTAAAGATTAAGACTCTTGTATCCTATATCAGAGTGCATGGATTCAGTGCCTGCCTCTGGCTCCTGTCTCCAGTTTTCTGCTAATGTGGACTCTGGGAGGCAGCAGTGATGGCTTAAGTACTTAGGCCTCTGCCATCCACTTGGGAGGCCAGGATGGCGTTCCAGGCTTCTGGCTTCAGTCTGGTCCACACTTCGTTGTTGTGGCCATTTGCAGAGTGAACCATTGGATGAAAGATATCTCTATATATATATTTTTGAGTCTCTCTCTGATTCTCTCCATATGTGTGTCTCTCTCTGTCTCTGTCTTTCTCTTGCTTTGCCTTTCACTTATGTTTAAATAAATCTTAAAAGATAAAATGAAATAATGGCTCCCAAGGACCCCACCTCCTGATTTTCAAATTCTTGTGTGATTTCTTGTTTGTGGGCTGGCCCTAGTAACATTTATGATAAACAGAAAAGTGATGGAAGATCATATCTGAGATTGATTACAAAACCTGTGTGACTTCAGTCTTCTCATTCTCTCTTGCCTTCTCATTTGTTCATTCTATTGAAGGAAGCGGCCATGTGGTGAACTCCCCAATGGATAGGTCCATGTGGCAAAAAAGAGAAGGCAGCTTCTAGTCTACAGCCAGTGAGGAACTGAGACCCTCAGCCCAACATCCTGCCAAGAACTAACTCCTGCCAGCATCTACTCCTAGTTATGCCTTAAACGTAACTGCAGCACCAGCTGACACTTTGAGTACAGCCTCATGAGAAACTCAGAGACAACACAGCCATCTCAGCTGTGTCCAGCTTCCTGGCTTCATGGACTGGAAGGTAACAATCATTCATCGCTTTAAGCCACAGAGTTTCACAAGAGTCTGTTGACAGCCATCGATAATTAACACAGGTTCTGTTGGATAAGCATTAACTTACACTTAACTCAAATTTTACTCAGCTAAGTAAGTTAATACGGATGTGAGAGTACTTAACCAATGAAGGTGGTTGTTGGCCCAAAAAATCTTAGATACTTACCAAATGATTGTCATACTCTCGTTTCTGAGTTTAGAAATTAATCTTAAAGAATTATAGTTTCTAGTCATACTTTTCCATTTAAGCACTATAAGGTTTTATTTTTATAAGCTGTAAGTACCTAATTCTCCAGTCTTTGGGAAAATAATACAGTCCCAGTTCAGAAGTAACTGGTCAGTTTTGGAAACAAGTATTCTAGTACAAAGTATCAGAGCCTGTAGATTTGAACATAGCTATCTATCTAAATAAACAGCTGCTATTTTGTAGAGGCTCAACTGGAAAACAGGAAATCAACTTTACAGTTCTTAAAAATAGTTAATTTAAGAAATTATTCTTAAGCTGATGAGTGTATAGTTGTTTTGTGTGTGTGAGAGAGAGAGGAGAGGAGAGAGAGAGAGAGAGAAACATTCTGGTATGTAGGATTCACTTCTTAATTTGTAAAAGATTTTTTTTAAAAACCAACCTTCCTACCTTATTAATTTTAAACTTTGGTAAGAAGTTCAAGCTTTAAGAATGCATATGAATAGTCATCTGAAAAAGGAGGGTACTTTCTAAACTTCCTGTCATCCTGTCATAGGCTTTAACTAATTCCCCTACAATTGCGTGGGTTACCTATTTACCAAATATCAGTTTCTCGGGTCCCCCAGAGTTAACTAATCCTTTAGTTTTAGGTGACAAAGAGTGAAAAAACAAAAGTTAAAGACAAATCTACAAGATCAGAGAAAGATAAGTCACGCTTCCAGTTGCCTCTGATTTCTTTCTAGTTTTAACACCTATCTACATGGACCAATGCCCTTCTCAAACGTTTATTCAGACCCCAAGGGCTATATTTGACCCTGGTATTATAAATCCCATTCTGCCTTTATTATTTGCATCTGAGCTTTAACTGTTAATATCTAATTGTATCATTCAGTGGCGAACTAGCAATACCTGCTAAAGTTTGGAATTAGATTAAATGTTCAACTACATTGACAAACCTCGTTTGTGTTAGCACTAGATACTTTTTAGAAGTTTTTTTTTTTTTATTTTGTTTTTGTAGGCCCAGTGCATTTTTTAAAATAACCTTTTAAAATTACCTCCTAACTTTTCATTCATTCAGCAAACATATATATATACTTTTTACTGTATAGCCAAATACAGCATAGGAGTGCAGCAGCGAACAAGACACACAGGCTTTTAGTCTTTACATAGCGTCCATTCTACTTCGGGTAAAGAGTACTAGACAAGTAAGATAAATTACCAGTTGTGGGGCTGGCCTTCAGCCTGCCTGGTAAGACGACTCTGTTTCATATTGGAGCACCTGATTCAAATACCTAGTTCTGCTTCCTGACTCTAGCTTCCTACTAATGCAAAGCCTGGGAGACAGCAGTGGTAGACCAAGTTACTGAGTTCCTTCCACCCATGAGGGAGACCTGGATTGATTTCCTGGTTCTATGCTTCAACCTGTCCCAGTCCCAGTTGTTTGGAGCATTTGAGGAGTGAACCAGTAGTCGGGAGCTCACGCTCTCTTGCCCTGAAATAACTTTTTTAAAACTATCAACTCTCGGGCGGGCGCCGTGGCTCCCTAGGGTAATCCTCCGCCTGTGGTGCCGGTACCCTGGGTTCTAGTCCCGGTTGGGGTGCCGGATTCTGTCCCGGTCGTTCCTCTTCCAGTCCAGCTCTCTACTGTGGCCTGGGAAGGCAGTGGAGGATGGCCAAAGTGCATGGGCCCTGCACCCGCATGGGAGACCAGGAGGAAGCACCTGGCTCCTGGCTTCGGATCGGCGCAGTGCGCCGGCCATGGCAGACATTTGGGGGGTGAACCAATGGAAGGAAGACCTTTCTCTCTGTCTCTCTCTCACTGTTTAACTCTGTCTGTCAGAAAAAAATTTGAAAAAAAAAAACAAAACTATCAACTCTAATTTTAATATTTTTCAATAACACATGGACCTATTATTGTAAGGGGATAACTACATATATCTGTATGTAGAATATTTCAGGATCTGAGCAAATATTCACAACACAGGGTTAGGTTAAAAAATAATTCTAGAAAAAATGTTAGAAGATCTCAGTATATATGTGTATATGTACATTCAAATAAAAATGTAAGAGAATATAAAAAGTGTATATGCTAAATGTTAGCAGTTTTGTTTCAGGTGTATTTTTTCACTTTTTTCTGCCTTTCTATATTTTCAAACCTCTTTTATTAATTCATTTATTGAGAGACAGAGAGCTCCCATCTGTTGGTTCACTTCTGTAGTGCCTGAAGCTCTGAAGCCAGGAGCCAGGAGCTTAGTCCAAGTCTCCCACGTGTGTGGCAGGTCCCTAACTCTTGCACCATCACCTGCCACCTCCCAGGATGTACATTATCAAGAAGCTGGAATCTTTTCTCCTCACCTAAAGGTTTTGAGGTTTCAAGCATGTGAATGGGTGGGTCACTGTTTCCTCAGAGAGTGCAGCTCCAAAAAATCGGGACCAGGAACCACACCTTTTCACCAGAGGTGCAGATAGAGCTGGGATCCCTACTACTGGGAAATGGAATATTAAAATACCCGTCTACAGAGGGAATTGCCAAGAAGACAGGACACCCTGCCTGGTTGAGAACAAGAGCAGTGAGTGTTACATGTGCACACAACACAGGACTCTGCTGTCACATGCAGCTCTAGCAGAAAGAGTTGGGACACCAGCAACAGTGGCAGGCTGCCTTCATCCAAGTAGACAGTCACAACTCGCGGGGCCACTGGGCTGGCAGTCATAGCAGCAGCTGCTTCAGTTAAGGGAACATAAAACTGAAAGCTGTCAGGTATGTTTTTTCTATTCTCTGCTTTACTTTCCAGTAAATCACATGTTTATCAGGCTTCTTGTTATTGAAAAACTGGATAATACTTTCCCACCTTATAAGTGCCTCCCAAAATACAGTCAACACAGTGCCGTGCGTTGGCTACTTCAGTTAAGATTAGTCCCAAATCAGGGTTTTTGATCAACTCTGTCAGACCAGATTGAGAGAGGCAGACTAATGTGTTCCAGTTGCCACCCTCTCTGCTATGACGAAGCAGGAAGTTTCCAAGCAAACCTCCACCTCTCAGGAAGTTAACGTCAAACTTACAGTTTACATCCTGTCGAACATAGTCTGAAATATTTTCCAATTCTAGATATTATTTGAATTAAAAGCTTGAGGATTCTGTCCTGAAATCGTTTCTTGTTACTCTCAAAAAACCATGTGCATCTGTTCTAAGTGACAAATGGAGTATCTCCATGACTTGTAATGATAAAAATTACAAAGTTGTTTTTTAATGTAAGCTGCCTATAATTATGACTCTGCTGAAATGCCTGTTCTCCATCCTTTATTCACTTGACCTCTGAAGCAGTTCCTTGTTGACCATGTTCTGATTCATTAATTGTGCAGGCAGGACAGTAAAAACAAGCAAACGCAACACTCAGTAGAGGCTCCAGATGCTCTCCTCTGGGACTCACCACATAGTATCCACTTGAAGGAGGGGACACAGTGCTGGTTCTGGTTCTTTCAGTAACTGGACTTTGGCTAAGTCCCTTAACCTACCATTTTCTGGCCTGAAAATGAGAGCAGTAGATTTAATGATCTTTAGCACACACTGTGTGAGTGTGCGATAGAGTAAAGCCAATCTTAGGTATCATAGTTCACACTTCTAGAATTTTTTAAAAAGCCACATCCAAAGCATAAGCCACAGGATAGATATGGTGGATCTTCCTAGATTTATTGGTTAGGATTCTTTTTTTTTCCTACTTTTAGTTATTTATTTTCATCATTATTTGAAAGGCAAATAAAGAGGCAGAGAGAAAAAGAGAGAGACAAAACCAGATAAACAGAGAGATATCTCCCATCTGCTGGTTCATTCCCCAAATGTCTAGAACAGCCAGGGCTGGGCCATGCCAAAGTCAGGAGCCCAGAACTCAAAATGAGTCTCCCACAAGAGTAGCAGGGACCCAAGTACTTGAGCCATCACCTGTTGCTTCCCAAGGTATGCAGTAATAAGCTGGATCAGAAGCCAAGCTGGGACATAAACCCAGGCACTCTGAAACGGTGTGGGCATCCCAAGAGGGATTTTAACCTCTGCCAGAGTTCTTCCCTGATACATATTCTTTCTGGATGCAAATAGCTCTTGCTTCAATAAGATGAATTTGTTATACGAGTACAGAGGTATCTCACAGAAATTAAACTGGGCCAAAGCGGGCAGGAAGGCGAATATCAGAAAGGCTCTCCCCCTCCTGTCTGTTTCTCCCTCTGTGTATCTGCTTCATTCCACCTTTTTTTTTTTTTAATTTATTTATTTATTTGAAAGAGTTACACACAGAGAAGGAGAGGCAGACAGAGAGGTCTTCCATCCACTGGTTCACTCCCCAGGTGGCTGCAACAGCTGAAGCTGTGGAGATCCAAAGCCAGGAGCCAGGAGCTTCCTCCAGGTCTCCCATGCAGGTGCAGGAGCCCGAGGACTTGGGCCATCTTCTACTGCTTTCCCAGGCCACAGCAGAGAGCTGGATCAGAAGTGGAGCAGTCAGGACTCAAACTGGTGCCCATATGGGATTCTGACACTGCAGGAGGCAACTTTACCTGCTACGCAACAGAGCCAGCCTCTCATTCCACCTTTTCTCTGCTGACCAGGTTCCTCTATTTCCCTTTACCACGTGGTGGAAAACAGGACACCCTGGCGGCTCATGAATTTACACACACACATAAATAAAGATGGATTTTTTTCCTAAAGCCAGGTGCCATGTTCCCAAGAAAGGGCTCCAACTGGCCCCCTTGGACAGATGCCCACTCGTGAATGAATTAACTGTTATCAAGATTTGGGACAGCTTTGAACATGACAGCTTTCACTACAATCCTGAGAAGGGGATGTAGGGAAATTTCTGGAAAGAGGGTTTAAGCAGAAAATCCGATAAATGCTCACATGTAAAATTGCTGTTGCTGAATTGTATTTTTTTTATTTTGAAACAACTATAGACTTATAGGAAGTCGACATTTAGTACAGAAAGTTTCCATGTAGCCTTTACCAAGTTTCCCCAGATGGTAATGTTTACATGTATCAACTATAAATTTGATATGGGCACAATTCACAGACATCATCGGAATTGTACCAATTTTACATGCCTTCATTTGTATGTGAACTTCTATGCAACTTTATCACATGTATAGATTTGTGTAACTGCTACCATAATCAAGATACAGAACTGTTCCAAGTAGCTCCTTTATATCCATATCCATTTCCCATCTTCCATCCTAATCACCTGACATTCACAAATCTGTTCTCCATCTGAGGGCACTTCAGAAAAGTTCTTGGAAAATGGAATTACAAGTTAAGTTCTTTTCATGCAAAAAAATTGGAATTCCATGCATAGGACAATGTCTTCAAAAAGTTCATAATAATAAATAAATAGTTATTTGATACCATTTTCCATGAACCTTTTGCTATAGCTGCCAAAGGTTATATAAACCTTCATATAACCATCATTCCAAGAATATTACATAAAGGGATAATACAGTAGGTAATCTTTTGAAACCAGCTTTTACCACTCAATATATTTCCCTTTAGATCTGTAGATGTTGTTGTGTGTATCAGCTCATTCCTTTTAATTGCAGACCATCATCCTTGGTATGGATATACCTGTTTATTTAATCATTCATATTGAAGTACATCTGGATTGATTCCAATTTAGGGCTATTAAAATAGAGCTTCTATGAACATTTGTGTAAAGGTTTCTATATGAGCATAAGTTTTCATTTCTTTGAAATAAACACCAAGGAGTGCAAATGTTAAGTAGATATAAGTGTATGCTTAGTTTTTATTTTTTAAAAGATTTATTTATTTATTTATTTGAAAGGCAGAAATACAGAGGGAGAGGAAGAGAGGAAGAGAGAGTGAGAGATTCCATCAGCTGGCTCACTTCCCAAATGGCCGCAGTGTCCAGCACAGGGCCAGGCTGAAGCCAAGAGCCAAGAGCTTCTACCACATCTCCCACAGGGTACAGGGGCGCAAGCACTTGGGCCATCGTCCACTGCTTTCCCAGGCGCATCAGCAGGGAGCTGGATCAGAAGCGAAGCAGCCAGGACTCAACTGAACTGGTGTTCATATGGGATGTCAAGTGTTACAGGCAGTGGCTTGACCAGCTGTGCCACAATGCCAGCGCCCTCATTGTGATTTTATTTTACATTTTTCTAAAAGTTATGCTGAAAATCTTTTCATGTGCTAATTTGCCATCTACATGACCTCTTGGCAAAATGTCTATGTCTTTTTCCTATATTCTAATTCAAGAATAATTCAGAACATTACTTTTACACTAAGACAAGTTGATACATTATTAGTAGGGGTGCAAAATTTTCATGAATTTTTAAGGTGAATTTCACATTCTCTACCTCTTTTTTTTTTTTTTTTTTTTGACAGAGTTAGACAGTGAGAGAGAGAGACGGATAGAGAGTTATAGACAGTGAGAGAGAGGCAGAGAGAAAGGTCTTCCTTCCATTGGTTCACTCCCCTAATGGCCGCCACAGCCGGCGCTGTGCTGATCCAAAGCCAGGAGCCAGGTGCTTCTCCTGGTCTCCCATGCGGGTGCAGGGACCCAAGCACTTGGTCCATCCTCCGCTGCCCTCCCAGGCCACAGCTGAGAGCTAGACTGGAAGAGGAGCAACCAGGGCAGAATCCAGCACCCCAACCCAGGGTGCTGGTGCCGCAGGCGGAGGATTAGCCTAGTGAGCCGTGGCACCGGCCTCATTCTCTACCTCTTTTAAGGCATATTCCTCATTTTTTTCTCTTTCTATTTATTTATTTATTTATTTATTTATTTATTTATTTTGACAGGCAGAGTGGACAGTGAGAGAGAGAGACAGAGAGAAAGGTCTTCCTTTTTTTTTTTTGACAGGCAGAGTGGACAGTGAGAGAGAGAGACAGAGAGAAAGGTCTTCCTTTGCCGTTGGTTCACCCTCCAATGGCCGCCGTGGCCAGCATGCTGTGGCCGGCGCACCGCGCTGATCCGATGGCAGGAGCCTGGTGCTTCTCCTGGTCTCCCATGGGGTGCAGGGCCCAAGTGCTTGGGCCATCCTCCACTGCACTCCCTGGCCACAGCAGAGAGCTGGCCTGGAAGAGGGGCAACCGGGACAGAATCCGGCGCCCCAACCGGGACTAGAACCCGGTGTGCCGGCGCCGCTAGGCGGAGGATTAGCCTAGTGAGCCGCGGCGCCGGCCAAGGTCTTCCTTTTCCGTTGGTTCACCCTTCAATGGCTGCTGCGGCTGGCGCGCTGCAGCCTGCACACCACGCTGATCTGAAGCCAGGAGCCAGGTACTTCTCCTGGTCTCCCATGGGGTGCAGGGCCCAAGGACTTGGGCCATCCTCCACTGCACTCCCGGCCCATAGCAGAGAGCTGGCCTGGAAGAGGGGCAACTGTGACAGAATCCGGCGCCCCGACTGGGAGTAGAACCCTGTGTGCCGGCGCCGCAAGGTGGAGGATTAGCCTAGTGAGCCACAGCGCCAGCCTATATTCCTCATTCTTTTTCATAAATGTTTTACTGAGGAATAACATGCATAAGAAAAGTGCACAAATCCTAGCTGCAAAAGTCAATGAATTTCCATGAGGGAAATGTACTCATGTGTCTTAGCCCAGTTCAAAAAGCAGAAAATCATGACTACTCCAGAGGACCATCTTCTGCTCCTTTTCAGTTCCTACCCTCCCTTACACGTGAATCCCACTCCCAGTGCTCTTCTGTGTCAGGCTTCCTTTGCTCAGCATTGTGTCTGTAAGGTTCATCCATGTTGTTCTATACAATTACCGTTTGCTCATTCTTCCATGAGTTTAAGTTGTTTTTTTTTTTTCAGTTTTATTGAAGTTATATAACATGTAATGAACTGTTTGATGCATTTTGATACATTTATACCCATATAAACACTACAACCGAGGTGATTCATCTGTCTGTTTCCTTAAAATATATCATGAATGTTTAAAATTAGAAAATGGAACCTGAGGGGCCAGTGTTGTGGCGTAGCAGGTAAAGCAGGATGCAATGTTGGCATCCCAGTGAGTGCCTGTTTGAGTCCTGAGTGTTCCACTTCTGATCCCGCTCCCTGCTAATGCACCAAGGATGGCCTAACAACTTGGGCTCCTGTACCCATGTGGGAGACCCGGGTTAAGCTCCTGGCTCCTGGCTTAGGCCTTGCCTGCCCTGACTATTGCAGCCTTTTGGGGAGTAAAAGATTATCTATCTATCTACCTACCTACCTACCTACCTATCTTTCCCTCTGTAATTCTGCCTTTCAAATAAATAAATAAATCAGAGAGAGAGAGAGAAAATGGAACCTGAAAAAAGTAAACATGTTAGGTCTCTTCTGGCTTCCAGATCCTTTGTAGAAGATTGCAATAAGCCTTTTCTTAAGAAGACTTTAATGAGAAAGATTTGTATTATATATGTTCTATTTTTTAAAATCTAGCTTTTAAAGACCATAAACATGAACAGTTATTCTAAAGTGGTTCTATGAAATAATGGTATCTGTGACTGCCAGCAACAGATAAGAAATCATGACACAAAAGCAAAAGGAGAATTTACACACAAATGTACATGCACATGCATTCGAAATGGACCAAATACCTGGATTAACTAAAAGTTATAAATCTGAAACTATAGGACAATAGCAATAGTTAATAGACCAAAGAATATTTTATCTTCCTGTCTTTAGCACTGTTTTCTTAAATGTGCACAATATTTGTATAACTGTTACAATGCACAGTCTTCATGTAGATTCATTGGCAGAGCCTCAGAACTTCTCAGTAACCTTACTTAACTTACTTGGCGCATTTTGTGCAAAGGATATAAAGAAACACTAACCAAAGCTGAAGAGCAAGTCAAAGGGGGTAAAACTGGAATTAGGTCTCTACTTCTCTTCATTTCATTGCTTAGGTCATAAATAGCTGCAGACTATTTTCATTCTCCTGAGACAATACCACATATCTGTTTAAAAAAAAAAGAGAGATATACTAAATGAAGTAAGTGAAAATCTTTGCTTGTTTTGCTCTGCTGTCTTTATCTCGGCAATCCAAAAGGTGATATATTCATAAACAAACATTTACTGAACAGCTCCTGCCCTAGGTACTGGGACCACAAAGACAAACAGCTTAGAGGGTTTATGTTCTAACAGACGCATCTACTCACCCTTATAAGATAATAAATAATCTTTATGTGTTTATTAAAAGCATGGTGCTATAAATGCCAGCTATTTTTAAATTTCTCTTTGATAAAAAACAAAATATTTGAGCCAGGCATTTGGCCGAGAGGCTAAGATGCCCTTTTAGGGACAGGGAATAGGAAAAGGAGGAGGAGGTGTGGTGGGAGGGCAGGTATGGTGGGAAGAATCACTATATTCCTAAAGTTGTACTTAGGAAATTTGTACTCAATGAATAAAAGATTTCTTTGGGGGAAAAAATGCCCTTTTGAACACCTGTGTCCCACATCAGAGTATCTGGGTTTGATAGCTACTGTGGCTCATGATTCCAGCTTCCTGCTAATGCAAACCCTGGAAGACAAGAGTGGTGGAGTGGTGGCTCTCCTGCCACTCAAGTGGGAGACTTGAATTGAGTTTTTGCCTCCCAGCTTATGCCCCTGGCCATGGGGGCATTTTGGAGTCAGCCAATGGAGAAAAATACTCTTCCTATCTCTGTCTTCTCTCTCCCTCTGTG